GCCAATGTTAAACTCTCCGAGATGCTATCCTACATGAAAGCAGATGTATAAATGCCAGTTGTTCCTGTTATAATTGTCGAATGAGGGAATTTGGAAGTGAGTTCCCGAGAGTGGGGGCAAAATAGTTAAAAACGTACCCACCAATGGTGGGCTGGAGAGAATAGGGAACATGAAGTATGCCAGAGTTGGTGAAGTGTAGAGAGTAAACAGGAGAGGATGACAAAAAGTGAGTAAACAAGATTGTAGAAATAGTGTGGGACAAGGCCATGGAAGCATTCAAAGGTAAGAATGGAGATCCAAAAATTGATGTATTGGGAAATACGGAATCAATAGAGTCTGGCAAGTATCGTGGTGATAGCTCATATAGACTTGTGTCGGAGAGATCTCAACAGCCCGGATGGTTTATGGAGTCTAGTCTAAGAGAAGGGAGGGGAGGGGAAGGGGGATGGCTGATGACATGGTTGAAGAGGATGGTCTTGAGGCAGGACTTGAAGGAGACTAAGGAGGGGGCGAGGCGGAGTGATTGGGGGATAGAATTCCAGAGGTTGGAGGCAGAGTGGCTGAGAGGCCATGGAAGGCTTTGTAGGTGAGGACCAGGATCTTGAATTGGATCCTCTGAAGGATAGGGAGCCAGTGGAGTCGGGCGAGAGTGGGGAGATTGGGTCACGGAGTTTGGTGCGGGAGAGGACACGGGCTGCAGAATTCTGGATTATCTGCAGCCTGTGGAGAGAGGAGCCGGGAAGGCCGACAAGCAGAGCGTTTGCTTGAAAGAATAGAGATTCAAGCAGTGACCTCTGGAAAACTCACCACATACCTCACTCCCCGCTCCTCCGATGGAAAGGTCAAACTCATGAGATCCATCAATATTCTATAAATAATAGCTTACCGTAGTCTCAACGCGAAGCCAAATCAGACTTCTAAAATGAATAGGAGTTTATTCTTTTCTGCACTGATCCCTTCATTTTGGCTGCCAAATGTTAGTCTTTGGCGGTTTCAGATATCCACAACTGGGGAAAGTCCTTCTAGTATACAAAACGTACATAGTCTGATGGAATGCTATAATAATAATAAATAATAATAAGAAAACTTGCATTTGATATAGAGCCTTATCACATCATTGAGATGTGTCAAAGTACTTCAAGGAATGTACGGTAACTGAGCGGTTTTGACCAGAATTTTGCTACTTTTGTGTGTGTGCGTGTGTGTGAAAAAACAACTAAAAAAAATGGACGACAACTGTGACATCCCGTAAAGTGGAGTGTCCTACAATAGCGGAAACAAAAAACGACTATTTGGCAAATCCGACCCATTCTTTCCACCAACCAATTCATTCCCATATCGTGGACTTCACACATTGAGCCACTCCACCTCTGGGGAAAGGTTCTGCATTAACTACAACCCAAATCCCAAAGATAAACCAAATATATAAAGTTCCATCGTGTTGATCCACCGTGTATATATGGTTCAACCAAGGCCTGGTGTCCTCCATACAACACCTCCTTTCCCCACACGTCTCTCCCGCCTCAACACAAACTGGTACATTTTATCCACACATTTATAAATACATAAATTACTGTTCTCAAGCAGATACTTGTGCGTGTATTGACTGGAATATTAAGCCTCCCCAGATACTACTCAGCTACACACGGCAGGTTACCCTCACGGTTATTTTATTTATTTATTTATTTATCTATTTAATTAAATAATTAATTAAATAGATAAATAAATAAATAAATAAAATAAATGAACTTATAACAGGTGCGGTTTTCTGGCAGAAGACGATGGTTGCGTGTTAATTATTAACCCATTTCACCTTGTTAGGTAAAGTAATCTGAGGTTTCAAATCCTTGTGTCAAAAGGGAGAGAGAGAGAGAGAGAGAAAGAGAGAGACCTGAAAAGGTGCTAAACCACAATTAGCGGAGTCCTGTAGCTCAGTGGTTAGAGCACTCGCTTTGCGAGCGAGAGACCTGAATTAAATTCCAGGCAGAGGGTGAAACCTTGGGCAAGTTTCCTTACTCCACACAGAGCCTAATAATAATCCCTCCAAAACCAAAAACAATAATAAATTGGTCATTTTCAATCCACGACTGTTTGTGGGACATTGCTGTGCGCAATTGGCTGCCGCGTTCGCCCACAAATATACAGTCAATTCACTTTACAGTGTGTTCTGTGAAGCGCTTTGGGACGTCCTCCCGACGTGAAAAGCGCTATATCAAATGCAAGGATTATTATTATTATTATTACCAACACATTACTCGGAAGTAACCTGTGTGCATCTGCGTGGCGCTGACACACACTTAAAATAGGTAGTAAAGGAGAATTTGTTCCCTCTCCCTGGTGAAGAAGCCACGAGCAATGCACGTTTGCACAGTTCCGATCGCAAGTAATGACTCTCTCCACTCCATTGAGAAATGCTTCGTGAACCGCAGATCAAACGAGAGGCAGTCCTTTTGTCCTCGACTTGGTCCTTTTGTTGCCACCCCCCACCCCACCCCCACCCCCCAGTGAATCAACTCAGTCCCCCACACCCCACCCCACCCCCCAGTGAATCAACTCAGTCCTCTTTTGACACTTGCACTAAAGTAATCTACAATTTCAGTCCCTGGTGTCACAGAAAAGTATGGTCCACACACTCAAAAGTTAATTAAATAGGTCACTTTTTTTAAAAACAAAGGAAAGGGAAAAAAAATGTTTTGCCTCGAACGAACGAACGAACGAACGAACCGTTTGCCCATTTTTTCTCCTTGTTAAAAAAAAATGAACTTATTTTAAATATCACAGTTTTCGTTTCGATAAGGAAATCGTTCTCATCCCTCGTTGTCGCCATCGATGCGTCTCAAAGCGCTTCTAAGGAATATACTGTGCAGTGAATTGACTGTGTCTGTGTCTGTGTGTGTTTTGTGTGTGTGTTTTTTTGTGGGCGATGAGTTTTCGTCTCCAAATCGATTTCCTTGGGTTTTTTTTTTTGCTGTGGGTTTATCTCAGCCCCACTGATGGGTGAAGTGGAGAGATTCTCCTTCAGGTAATAGCGTCGGGACTTCGGAAATACGCACTCGAAAAAAAGTCGGATTTTAACCCACTATTCGCCGATGCGCCTCGAGGTTTAATTTCGCCCGAAACGTTTCGTTCGCACATCCACAGCACTGACGATGGATTGGGTGAAATAGTGGTCCTTTATTTGAAATAAGTCACGACACACACGGGCTTTCATTTTTTTTAAAAAAGATGTATTTATTTAGTCCAAAAAAAATCTCCTGCCTTCCTCCCAACCCCCAACCCCCCCCCCCCCCAAAAAAAAAGGAGAAACAGTACATAAACCAATAGCAAAAAGTTGCTAACAATAATAATAATTAAAAAAACAACGTTTCGTTCGTGTTCTTTTTAAAAAAAACAAAGGGAAAAAAAAGATTTCCAGCTCACACACCAAAAAAAACACAGGTACAAAAGCGAACCAAAGCACATACATTGGCTGGAGAGGGAGAGAGAGAGAGAGGAGGATGGAGGAGGATGGAGGAGGAGAAGGAGAAGAAAAAAAAGGACCACACAGTGTCAGCAAATAAATAATTCTACCTTTTCACTTTGCCAAAAAGAGGAAGAAAAATAAGACATATAAATTCCCACTGGAAGACAGAAGGTTTGACACAACCGAATGGAAAATACCTACACACACACTCTCTCTCTCTCTCTATTTATACACATATATATATATAAACACATATATATATATTTGAAAACACCCCCAATTGCAGGTGAACTCTCTTTAAATAGTCAGCTCAAAGGATTGGCAGTTTCAACGTCGCTATAGGTCGTGGGTTGGGTTTAAAGTGCGCGCATTACAAACAAAAAAAGGATTACAACAACATCAGGACACACACACACACACACACACACACACACACACATATATGGAATCCGTATAAAAATTAGCGATTTTTTTTTTCGTTTGGGAATACATTATTACTATTATTACTATTTATTATTATCATTATTAAGACGACCCAAAAATAGTTCTATTAGCATTCAGCGTTCATAGCAAATACAAAAACAGCAAAACCAACACCCCCCCCACCACCACCCAGTCACCCCCACCCTCCCACCCAGTCACCCCCACCCCCACCCAGTCACCCCACCCCACCCCCACACAAATGGATGGAAGACTAAGTTCAATTCTAAAACGTTTCACTTTCTCTTTTTTTTCTTCTTTCCTTTGCTTTTTATGTGTGTGGGTGTGTGATGGTGGTGGTGGGGGGGGGTATGTGTCTGGGTATGTGTGTGTGGGGGGGTATGTGTGTGAGGGTATGTGTGTGGGGGTGTGGGTGTGGGGGGGGGGGGGGTATGTGTGTGAGGGTGTGTGATGGGGGGGGTGTGGGTGGGATGTTAGTAATTCTGCACCAGTTCAGAGAGTTCATCACCAACACCAACACCAACACCACCATCCTCATCCTCATCTTCCTCCTCCTCCTCCTCCTCCTCCTCGCTCTGCAGATCCAGGGCCACGTCTGAGTCGCTGTAGCCCGAGTGAGGGGAGAACTCCCCATCGCTGCGGTGGGACCGAGGGGAAGCCTTCTTCTGCCCCACCAGGGCCGGGGAAGACGACGATGACAGATCCTCCTCCTCCTCCTCGCGGTGATGGTGATGGTGGCGGTGTTGGTGATGGTGGTGGTGGTGGTGGTGGGACATGTCCATCTGGTCCCGGTCGAAGCCGAACTGCAGGGGGTTCAGCTGCACCGAGTAGCCGGCGGTGGGGTACCGCCTGCAACTGGGGGAGGGGGAGGTGATGGAGGAGGGGGAGGAGGTGATGATGGAGGAGGTGGAGGAGGTGGAGATGATGGAGGAGGAGGAGGTGGTGGAGGTGGTGATGGAGGAGGTGATGGAGATGGAAGAGTTGGTGGTGGTGGTGTTGGGTTGGTGTTGGTGTTGGTGTTGGTGGTGGTGGGTACCATCGCCTTTGGGGGGCTGCTCCCCCCCCCTCCCCCCGCTCCCCCCCCTCCCCCTCCCCCCTGCAGCAGCTCGGCCAGGGCTGTGATGTAGATCTGGGCCATCTGTAAGGTCTCGTACTTGCTGAGCTTCTTGTCGTTGTTGAAGGACGGGATGACGTTCCGCAGTTGGTCGAAGGCGTGGTTCAGGCCGTGCATCCGCCGCCGCTCCCGGGCGTTGGCCGCCAACCTCCGCTGCTTCTGCACTCCGTTCACCTGCCGACTGGGGGGCGCCCGCTGCCGGCAGCCCAGCTCCCCCCGGGCCCCCCGGGCCCCCCAGCCCCAGGGCCCCCAGGGACCCCACCCCCAGCCCCAGGGCCCCCAGGGACCCCACCCCCAGGGCCCCCAGGGACCCCACCCCCAGCCCCAAGCCCTTCAGCCGACACAGCTCCCGCACCTTCATGGGGCTTCTCCCACCAACTCCAACTCCTCCATCACCTCCTCCCATCATCATCATCATCTCCTCTTCCTCCTCCTCCTCTTCTTCCTCCTCTTCCTCCTCCTCCTCCTCCTCCAAGTCGCCGTCGGCTCCCAACAGCGTCTCGTCCGACGATCCGGGCGACAGGTACTCGGCGTGTGCCGGGCAGGTGCCGGGGGGGTACACCGGGGCCAACCAGGCTCGGGGGTCGGTGTCCAGCAGGGACAAGCCCCCCCCCGGCCCCGCCCCCCCCACACCCCCCACACCCCCCGCCCCGTAGCCCAGGTGAGCCGACAGCCCGGACTGTTGGTGCTGCAGACACCGCTCGGCCGCCAGTTCCTTCATCTCGGACCATTCGTGGTCATTGGCGCACCCGGAGAGGGGGTGTGGGGTGGGGTGGGGTGTGGGGGTGGGGTGGGGGGGTGGGGGTGTGTGGGGGAAGGGGGGGAAGTGGGGGGAGAGAGGGGATGGGGATGGGGAAGAAGGTGGGTGAAAGGAGGAAGGTGAAAGGAAAGGAGAGGGAGAAGGGGTAAAACAAGATAAAAGAGAGAGAGGGAGGGAGGGAGGGGGTAAATAAAGAGGGAGAGAGGGGGTAAATAAAGAGGGAGAGGGGGGTAAATAAAGAGAGGGTAAATAGAGAGAGAGAGGGTAAATAGAGAGAGAGAGAGGGAGAGGGGGTAAATAAAGAGAGAGGACGAAATGAAGTCGTAACGACCAGAAAAAAAATAATAAGAATAATAAAAGTTTGATGCGGGGGGGGAAAGGGGGGAAGGAGAGAGAGAGGGAGAGAGAGAGTGTGTGTGTGTGGGAGAGAGGGAAAGGGTAGAAAAAAAGGGGTCAACACCAAAAAAAGGGGGAGAGAGAGAAAGTGGGAGCGAGAGAGGGAGAGAGAGGAGAGAGTAGAGAGGAGAGGACCACAAATGAAGTCGCTGCAACAACAACGACAAGAAAAATGATAAAATAAAAGTTTGATGGGGAGGAGGAGGAGGAGGACGGGGGGGGGGAGGAGAGCGAGAGAGTGGGGAGGGCAGAGGGAGGGAGGGAGGGTGGAGGTGGTCGGGGTGGGGGGGGGGTGGGGGGGTAAACTCTGCAGTCCGGATGCTCTTGTTGCTGACGATGCTCTGAAGTGGCACAAACACACGAAGTTGTCGCAGGTTGTTGCAAAAGAGTTTTGCTTTTCTCTCTCTCTCTCTCTCTCTCTCTCTATCTCTATCTCTCCCCCTCCCTCCCTCCCTCCCTCCCACCTCTCTATCCCTCTCCCCCTCCCTCCCTCCCCTCTCTATCTCTCCCCCTCCCCCCCCCCCCCCCCCCCACCCTATATCCCTCTCTCTATATCCCTCTCTCTATCCCTCTCTCTAATCTATCTCTAACTCTTTCTCTCTCTCTCTATATATATATACATCAATATTCCTCTCTACGTCTATCCCTCTCTCTCTCTCTCTCTATCCCTCTCTCTATAACTATATATACATATCACCTTCTCTCTCTCTATCCCTCTATCTCTACCCCCCCCACCCCCCCCCTCTCTCTCTCTCTAAATATATATATATATCCCTCTCTCTCTCTGTCTATAAATATATATATATCCCCTTCTCTCTCTTTATTCCCCCTCTCTCTCTCTCTCTATATATATATAATATATATATATATATCCTTCTCTCTCTTTATCCCTCTCTCTATGCCCTCCCTCCCTCCCTTTTATCTCACTCACTCACTCACTCACTCACTCGGGGTTTTTTTTTGGAGCAGAGTTTTGTTTGGAAACTTTCGGTGCAGTCCGGATGCTCCTCTCTTTCCCTTCGCTTCTCTTCTGCTCCGGTGTCGCCGCCGAAGTCGGGGGCAGATTGGGGCAAAAAGGGGCTCTTCTTCTCCTTCTTCTTCCTTTATTTTCTCTCTCTCTCTCTCTCTCTCACACTCTCTCTCTCTCTCTCTGTCTGTCTGTCACCTTCGGCACGCGTGTCTGTTTGCACAACAACACACACACAGACAGTGGTTCTCGTGACGATGCTGAATAATAACACGATTGTAGGCAAAAGGTCTGAAAAGGGTTCGGTTTAAACTCGTGCATTCAAACCCTGTCTCCCCTCTCACCCACTTCAAGCCCTACTTGAGTTTCCTGCTTTTGTACAGCGATCACTCTTTTGATCTCTGGCCGGCGCGCCCTGTTTGAGCGATTCCCCCACCACGTGAATCAGTGAAGTCATCTGGTCTGACTTTTACAAGGAGTTTATCAGAGCTTTTCTTTTTATTTACCTTAGGTTGCGCTGATTACGAACGTGTGGTGGGGGCGGTGGTGGTGGTGGTGGGGGGGGGGGGGGGGAATAAAAAAAGGAACTTTACAGTATGTCCCTTAAAGCGCTTTGAGACACCTCAAGGACCGTGACAAGGAGCGATATTAAACGCAAGGATTATTATTATTATTATTATTATCCTAGTTAACAGCAGATTCTATGGGAATAATATACATTGTACCACAGTGACATTGACTGGCGTTGGGGGGAAGAGGAGGGGGGGGTGGGGGTGGAGGGGGGGATGTATATTGGGAAAATGCCAAGGGGACGGGGGAGGGGTGGGGGAATTGAACCCAAATAAGATAAAAGCAATTAAACGGGCATTGTCTTGGCTCTGTAAGTCATACAGAGACTTAAGCGTATGCACTTGAGTTTATTATACTCGTTGAACACGGGTGGTCTTGTTTACACGACGTGTTGGAAGTGAAATCGTAACCTTTTAGCGTTCTCTTTGTGCCCTTCCTGACAAGAGGCGGTTTGCTCACGAAATACCCAGTCACGCCATTCCGCAGTAAATCCTGCGAGGTGAGGATGTGAAGCTGAGACGTCGCGACGACGTGACCGGGCCACGCGAGGGTTATTATTAATTCTTATTAAAAAAAACCAACGCTCGTGATAAAGCTGCGTCCGCGAGCAGTTACTCTCCGTGTACGGGTGAGGTTGTGCAGCGTGGTTGGAGACTCGGGGCGGAAGCTCACAGCACAACCAGCTCCAAATATAAATCCATTCCATTCCAACAACCTTACCTCTGGAATTCCCACTTGTAGGTGGGATGCATGGAATTCCCAGCACACGGCGATGGGTTTCCCCACCTGTCGGGCTCCTGGCTGACCGCAAATAAAATCACTGTGAAAGCAGGAGAGGGAAAGGGAATGGCACCGACGCTAGTTAAAAAGGGGACAGGGAGGCAAGACCAGAAATAATACAACGCGAATAGGTAGGGTGGGCGGTGGGGGTGGGGAGTGGGGGGGGGGGGGATTATTTAGGCTGAGTATAGACGAGCAAGAAATTTAAACACAGTTTCACTGCAACACTTTAAAGTGGGAATTAAGTCGGGAGTCAAGGGCGGTGCCTGTGACTGTGGCACTGGGGTCTTTTGGTCTCCCCTGAGCGCTCACTGTTTGCTGTTGATTTTTTTGTGTCACTGGGCCATCCTGTGCAAACACCAGGTTGAACATTGTAACTGGGGATTATTGAAGTGTCCTCCGCACAATGCTGGTCTGTGTCCCATTCGCCACGCTCGGCTGGCTCCTGCGAGTGTGTGCAGAGAAAATGTGACACGATGTTGGCTTGGACATTATTCAGTCTGGATACCGGTTAACTCAGCGCTGTCTCCATGGCAATCTCACATCAAGACTCCTTCCCTGCAAAAATCCCAAATCAAGAGACAAGACGTGCGTATGTGTGTGTGCGTGTGGAGGGGTGGGGGGGGGGGTGGGGGGGGGGAGAAATTCAGAAATAACAATAGGCACACAGCAAGAATAAACTTTGTGCATGGTGTGCAGTTTCAACTCGAACAAAACCAATATCATTCATATATTCGAGGACGCGATAAGGCGCTCTATCAGATGCAAGGATTGCATTCGTTCACCGTGTTTCGGTATTCTGATCTGTTTGTTTTATTTGTGATACTTACTGTTTAGTGGTTAGAGCACTCGCCTCGCAAGGGAGAGGACCTGGGTTCAAAATTACGAAACGTTGGGCAAGTTTCCTTACTGCACACCCCTCTATTTACCCAAGAGCTGTTGTGGTTGTTAGTCGATTGGACTAACCCTAACCCTAACCCTTTTCCAGAGATACTGATTCCTTCAAAAAAAATAATAATTTGGTCACTCAATCCACGACTGTGGGGCACTGCTGTGCGCAATTGGCTGTCGTGTTTCGTCTACAAAATATACATTCAATTCACTTTACAGTATATTCTGTGAAGTGCTCTGAGATGATTTGAAGACATGATAAGGTGCTGTATCAAATGCAAAGCTCATTATTATTATTGTTAAATCTGCTTTGTCTATGCTCTTCTCTCCCTCACATTCACCAGCATTGTGTTTTATACATATATGATTAAAATTAGGTCTCGCAACACATCGCCGGTTGCTCCCAGTGACAAGAGGGATTAAGGGATATGGGGATAGGACGGGTAAATGGAATTAGATCAGCCATGATCTTATTAAACGGCGGGGCAGGCTCGAGGGGGGGAATAGCTTACTCCTGTTTCTACGTCTTATGGTTTTGTGAATACTGTATAGTTGGCATTGATTTCATGGGGTCTGTGCCTCAAATTACTGTGCAACTTTCAGTGAAAGCCTGGGCTTCAAATCACATCCATTCTACTTTCCACCCGATCCGAAAGCCACCTGCAGCACCAAACGGAGTGAGTCAATGCCCTCTTGTGGCGGTTTACTTCCAAATCTTTCGACTCTTTTTTATATAAATAAATCCATCACTTGGCATCAGGTAGAGAAATCTTCTCTGCATCAGGTGCTGGTCTGTGTATATCAGGTGCCAGATCTGTGTATAGCAAATCTGGTCCTGTGTATATCAGGTGCTGGTTTGTGTATATGAGGTGAGGGTCTGTGTATATTAGGTGTTGTGGCTTTGTGCATATCGGTTTTTCCAATGGCTTAACATGAGGAAAATAGATAGATATGGTTGTGTAACAAAATTGTTATGATCTGTACACAAAGTCAGAAAAATAGTTTGCTTCAAGTGTTTCGTTTACACTTGCAGAAAGCCAAACACTGCGAATACTGCAAATACGGCATATTTATCAAGAGCTTTCAGATGTCCTCCTGATATGAAAGGAGCTGTGTAATATGAACGTGAATTGTATTATAAGTTGCAGCGTACGTATTTATAATACAACAGCAGCAAGATTACATTTGTATAGCGCCTTTCACGTCCCAAGGCGTCCTCCGTGAAATACCTCCATTTCAAGTTACTGTCTGATTAAAAGACGCTCTGCATACTTCTTTTTTGACGGGGGAAGTTTGTCAGAAGAGCCTGAAAAGGACTGCATTGTTTTCCTTACGGTGATATCTCTCACAGGGAACA